TGCCATTGCAGCACTGCTCTCGTCATTGAAAGTCTGAAGGCAAAGGGACCACCAATTATAAAGAAAGTAAAGACAACGCTATTTCTTTTTTATATGAATCATATATTTTTATTTTAGCTTTTAAGTTTTGTAAGTTTTTTATTTTATTTTAAAATCTTACTTTATACTTGTTAGTAGATATGTTTTAATAATAAAAATTACTATACTCTCTCTATTCCAAAATAATAGACATTTTTTATTTAAAATTTGTTCTAAAATAATAATTACTTTTTCTTATTTTAAGTAAAACAAATAGTTTTTTTTCCTACTTTAACTCTATGATTATCTCTTAGCTTTAATTATTTATATTTTAATTGAAGTAGATATTTATTTTTAATTATTTTTTAAGTGCAAAATAAGTAAAAACAGAAATTGTTTTCAAATCCTTCATATGAAGATAAAACAAAAAATCTATTATTCTAATATGGAGGGAGTACTATTTAAGTAATGAAACTTATTGAGTTTTTATTATCACAAAAATTGTATAATTTCATTTTAGGATTTAGAGTTGTTGAGACGACAAACAAAATTGAATATTATGATACTATTAAAGTTACAAGAATAGAAATATAGAATTGATGTAAAAAAGAAATTGAAAAAAAAAAAGGTATAGATCCCTAAAGGGAACGTATATGAAGTTAGTAAAAGGAAAAAACCTTGGATATAGAGAAAAGCAATTGAAAGATAAACTAGTATAAAGTGTAGTTGGCTTGTAAAAATGGAAAAAAAAATTTGTTTGATTATAGAAAGTGGTAGGGTGAAGAGATAGGATGTTGCCATATTTCATAGCTTGTAAAAACTAGAATGCAATAGAACTATTGACTCTTGGTAGTGCTTTAGATCCTAGAAATGGGTACAAGAGTTTCAATGTTGATCATATTTATGAGCTTGTAGAAAAATACTATCCTTAGGATTTTTCAAAGATGAAGAAACTTCATTTTTAGAGTTTCCATATTATGAGATTGAAACAAGTTATGATTAGGGTTTCAGTATTTGTCTAATGTTTTTGAGCTATGTCAATAGCTTGTGGAGATAAGAAAATCAGAAATCTACCGTCTCATTTACAAAGTTAATTACTTTAGTGCTTACTCTTCCAGTTTTTACAGCAACAACAAAAGAGCATTTTCTACCATAAAAATTATGAAAACAAGACTTCATAGCAAAATAGAACATGAATTCCTTTCAAATGCTTTGATTGTTTATATTGAAAAGAAAATAATTCAGACATTTAGTATAGACTCTTAGTAGTGCTTTAGATCCTAGAAATGGGTGCAAGAGTTTCAATGTTGATCATATTTATGAGCTTGTAGAAAAATACTATCCTTAGGATTTTTCAAAGATGAAGAAACTTCATTTTTAGAGTTTCCATATTATGAGATTGAAACAAGTTATGATTAGGGTTTCAGTATTTGTCTAATGTTTTTGAGCTATGTCAATGGCTTGTGGAGATAAGAAAATCAGAAATCTACCGTCTCATTTACAAAGTTAATTACTTTAGTGCTTACTCTTCTAGTTTTTACAGCAACAACAAAAGAGCATTTTCTACCATAAAAATTATGAAAACAAGACTTCATAGCAAAATGGAACATGAATTCCTTTCAAACACTTTGATTGTTTATATTGAAAAGAAAATAATTTAGACATTTAGTGTAGACTCTATTATAGATAGATTTTGTGATATGAAGACTCATTGAGTATTATTTTAATTTATGATATAAAAGTAAGCTTTTGAAATTATAATGTAGTACTTTGAGATTTGAAAATTTGGCCCCCCTAACTAAAATTCTTGGCTTCACCATTAAAAATACCAACGTCACTTTAGCAACTACCATTCCCTCGGAAGAGGATTGCTAGGTGACCACCTCTGCATCATCAATAGCGGATCCATCATTCCAAGGGTAGTGACTATGGAAATGGAAGGGAACATGAGAGGAAATCTAGCATTAGGTTCCCTCTTTGTTAACCTTACTCATCCTTAAGTTTAGTATTCTGTTTTCACATTTCATTTACAATCTGTAAACCAGAATACTGTGAAGTTTGAACTTGATTCCATTTTCAAGTACAAATTCTCAATAGTCTAATCATCAAGTCTAGGTTAGATAGCATCATGGAAGATTTTGGAGGATTTGACCATGAATGCTGCTACTCAAGTACAACAACAAGTGTTGGACAAAAGACTTACCCAAAATGTAAATACAGAATACCTCAGGACTTTCCTCAATGGCGACACTGATAAGTATTCAAGAAGGAAATTCCTGTGGTGGATTATGAAAATATCAAGCCTTACATGAAGCGAATTGTTAACAGAGAGCCATAGACGTATACTTTTGTCAGCACCAATTTATGAACTTCTTCAAAGGTAAGATTTACTCTTCCTTCATACTTAAATTCTTGAACCAAAATTATATCGTCTTTTGGTGCAGCACTAGTACTTTTTGGAAGGGAACCAAAATTGGCGCCTTCTATTGCTAAATACCTGGATAAAAAGTTGTTCCGCCACAATTTGTTTTACATTGTGATGATGAAGTAAGAAATATTTCCTCAACAGTAGTGCCAACTTCCTTTAAAAGTTTTATATAAGAAGATGTAGAACTCAAGTATTGTTTCCTAAAAAATCCTAAAGTGACTTCACACGTACAAAAATTTCGTACATACAGAATGTGGATGTGGACGTGCCGTTTTGTTGAAAACAAGAAAGAAGGATTTTCCCAATAACTCTCTTCTTCCTCACGGTCAACCTCTTTGCAGATGATGGGAAGAACGTTGGTTTAAAATTAAAATTCGCACCTACAAACGATTTGCAAGAGGGAAGGATGCCTTCCTATAGAATGGGCTACTAAATCTACCTTGAACAGCTCCAAGGACTTAAACACTATCATGAATCAAAGTTAACAAATCCTAAGTGAACTAAATGGTATGTAAATTAAAGTAAATTTGCAAATACAAGATGCACGCAAATTAAATTCAATATGCTCATTGTCAAATTAAACTACTATCTATAGACAGATTTAGAAATTAAACTACTGTAGAATTGAATATTTGACCCTAAATAAAACTAAAGCAAATATAAATAGAGATTAAATTAACATGCTCGAAATTGAGAAGAAACGTAAACGTCATATAAGTAATCATTTGATAAATGCTACTTATTATAAATATTAAACTAATGCCAATTAAAAAAATAATAGTACATTGTAGAAATTTAAAAGTTTGATGTTCATTACATGAAATGAAATTGCTAAAGCAAATACATGAACTAATTTGGCTTATTGGAATGATGAAGAACAACCTAAATCTACTGCGAATTGTGCTGATAATCGAAATCTATAAGCTAAAGTGAGTAATGCTGAGAAACTAAAAGTCTAAAAATTTGTCAAGTTGTGTGTAGGGTTGGTCGTATGTTGAATGATAAAAACTTTTCCTTTTGTTTTCCTTTTCCCCGCCGACAACTTCCCACTCCATGCAGTTACTCAAATCATGGGCAGTTTCCTTAAGAAGTTGGACATGTCAAGAGTTGATAGAGTCAGAATTCCTTCTAAATTTCGACATTTGTCCCATTATCAGCTAGCTCACATCCATAACTAAAATAAACTCTTAAACACTAGCTAAAACAATCCCAACGTAACTCAAATAGGCAACCAAAAGATAAAATCTTATCTTTTCAGCTCTGTCTTTCCTATGTGGTACTTGATTAGTCATGGGACTCAAAATTGCATATCTGACATAGCTAAATCACCTCCATTCTTTTAAAAATTTTTCGATACATGGCATGATCTTAAATTTTTGCAATTTATGGTGTAAACAAGTATCAAAGTAATTGACTATATAAAATTGCGAGTATGTAGATGGTTTGAACCAAGGAAAATAGATAGACCTTTTATTCATCAAACCAGAGACTAAAACCCCATCAGGTTTGGTGGCAACGTTATACATGACTTGCTAAATTAAGCATGTTTAATAGAAGAAAATCAAGAATGATTGTTCTCTAACCTTGTTGAAACATCGTGTTTTCGAACACCAAGTAGAGCATGTATTCCCAATTACTTTGTGGCTTAGTACAACATGATGAGCTTGTCTTTGTTGGTTTACTACCATCAATTTCATGAAAAATCAATGGAAAGAGCTATGCTCCAACAAATGAACTGGACATTTAAATGAACTGGACATTTCAATGACTAGATCACCAACCTTGGTTGTAGAAATTTTGTCATGTTGATCCTCAGCAAATCTAGTCCACAATTGATTGATGCAATTGCAATATGTTGTAGGATATCATGGGAAGGTATGGTTAGAAAACCCTAGCCAAGGGCAAAAGCCATCGATGCTATACATGCAAGTTCTATGGCCCAATACAGCCCAACACTAGAATACTATAGTGGGGGCGTCCCCTTAGTTTCAAAAATTTATACTTCTAGTGAATGTTTCTTTGGAATAAATTTGAATCCTCTATGCCACCCATATAATGTATCCTACACTCTATTCCCCAATATTGGCTAATCTGAATTTCTACTTGTAAACCCAGACTATGTAGAAGTTATTAAAGAAGATTCCGTAGTAAAGGAGAATATCAAGTGTGTTAGAAAATATATTAAACCGAGTGTATACCGATCATTTTCCTTAACAATAAGATAGTAATTAGTATACACTTGGTTCAACACACTACACAATATACTTACTAAAAAATCACTATTTCTTGGTCTAAAATTAAAGGTAGACAAGTCTAACGATACAATCATGTATATAAGATGCAAGAATTAGCTGAATTGATTGTATTTATATTATATTTTCAATGGTTAAACTAGAAACGTGTTAAATTGAGTGTCTACCAATCACTATCTTATTGTTAATCTTGTGGACATGAAGGTTGGCCAATGTTATGAAGTTGTTACCAAAACAATTATAGGAAATAAGGCTTTTATTCCTTTCTTCAATTCTGTTTCCTCAAAAACATGATGATCTTTTCATAAAAAATAATATTTTTCAAGTTTGTATAGGTACAAAGTTGGAGACATTATTACGGTAACCAGTTTCTATAATAATGCTCCTCAAGTTCAGTTTGTGGCACGATGAAATGTGGTTTTGAGCCTAGATTCTGACAAACAATAGAGGAAGACCTATCGAAGGCATTGGCACAAGCACAACTACACATTGAGCCATTTAGGTTCCTTCTGATTGATTATACTAGCTATGGTGATACTTGTTCTAGGCTGGCTTATTACATACTATTTTGGGAGCTCAAGACAAGAGGAAACAAGGGTCAGGAGGAAGAGCTTGATTCTGAAATCATGGAATAGTATTGCTACACAATGGAAGAATACCTAGGTTACATCCATAAGATGTACAGACAAGAGAATTCAATTGCACCTTTAAAGATTAGGGTGGTGAGAAACACCAAACATTTGAGGCATTGGTGGAACTTTTCATATTAAAAGCTCCTTCTTTTGCCAATACAAGGCACCAAGGTGCATCAAGTTTGAGGAAGCAATAAAGCTGCTAAATTCTAGAGTGGTTATAAGGTTTTTTAGCCCAAGGATTCCTCTTTAGGAGCTGGTCATGATGTTGAAATTGCCAACTAAATAATCTAGGTCTGCAACCCTTGACATTGTGCTTTGTTCATAATCTTATAGCCTTGTTTTCTTCATATCTTAGTTATTAATGCCACAATTAAATTTTAATAAGGGTATTAAATCCATGTCCTTAGTAAGTGTAGTATTTTTATACTAGATTGTTACAAAACAACCCTTCTCAAAGGTGCTGTTACTAGCATAGTTCCTCCTTGCTTTTCATGCCTATGTTTTGAGAAAGTTCAAGTAGTTTTATTGTCATGCCCCCAGAACCCAAATCTGAGGATGTGGCAGACGCTGTGCACTCGTGAACGGGTCCCACGAATACACAAGGCTCGAAACTTTATCATACCACAATCTGATACCACAAAATCTAAAGATAAAATTTTAAAATTTGCTCTAATATCATAAAATCTTCAAATAAAGTCTAACTTACAAGATCATGATTTATATCTAAAATCTATGTTCAATTTATAATATGGCTAGCCTTCTAACTCATCACTCCCTTTGTTTTTCCCCGTCCTTGACTTCGCTTCCTGAAATGGTGGACAAGGAAAAACTATGACATAACTCAGTAAGTAAATATGGATAGCCCTTAATTAAACTTATAGCATGCCAACTAGTATAATCACGAAAACTAGGTACGAGTACGGAAACGAAATAGACATCTCCTCTATAGGTCATGACCAGTGTTATAAACCTCCCACTGGTAGGCACATGATTTACTAGTGTATAATCCCACTAGCAAGATTTTAGAATAATAGAAACGAACCGGTTTTATTAGTAACATGTCGACATGTGCTAGCGTTTATAAACCTCCTACTAGCGGGCACACGAATAACATGACCATATCGGAGACAAAATAGGAAAATCATAATTCATAAATAATTTCCAGATCATCAGGGCAGTTAAGTAAACTCCAAGAAGGCATGCTCAAATCAATAAAAAGAATAATAATTTCATTTCAAATCAATCATACTTGTGTAAAACATGTTTAGTCCCGTCACCACTTCAAAAATAAGCTAAAATGTGCTTTAAAATCGGAAGGCATTACCATAATTTTCTTACCTCACTGGCATAAAACCGTAGACTCAATCCAAGTGCTAAAGTGACCAAAGAATCAAGAATCTAATCGAAATATCCAAGAATTAATAACCATATGAGTGGACATCTCAATTTTATTCTCAATATAAACTAAATATTTAAATCCTCCTATTGTTGCCCATTAGTGCATGAATAGTACCCGGGAACAGTACCCTTAAACAGTAATTACACAGTAAACAGTAACTGCAACTTCCAGAATTTGGCAAAACAATAGCTAATTTCATGGGATTTTTCTCTAAAATCTCACAGTAGTCAATTAACACTCAATCACATAAATTCTACTTGAATTAATGCTTAAAGTTTATCCTAAAGCTACCGGAATTATCCCATAATTACTGCAGAATTTCGGACAGCACAGGCAGCAATTTAAATGGATAATTTGGACTTAAATGGAGCTATCACATACCAGGAATTTTCAGCAAACAAACCGGGGCTGCAGATTGGGGAAGATCGACGGGAAGTGAAGGGGCAAATTCAGGGGATCTACCCAAAAATTGGAGAAACCAAGAGAAATCAACGTTAACCCAAGCCAATTCAAGAAAGAAAAGAGGAATTAATGGCTGTTTCCCCTTACCAAAAGTCGGAAAAATCACAACCACACCAAGAGCAGCAGACGGACGGGAGAAACAAAGTAGAGCAGATCCGGAATTATGCAAAGGGGGGGAAGATTTCCAAGCTTAAATCTTGTTCTTGAACAAGAAAAGAAAGGCAAAAGAAATCAAGTTTTTCTCACCGTTTCTCAAGGGGAGGTGCGTCGGTGGCTGGGCTTCCTTGCTCGGTGCAGGGGAGAAGAAGAACAGCAAAACATGCAGGCTGAAGAAGAAAGAAAGAAGGAAAAAAAATCAGCCCATCCCTATCCAATTCTTTTCTCTTTTAAGTCCCTCTAGTTTGAGAATTTTCACTATTAGGCCCCAAACAATATTTTTTCCAAAATAAGTGCCTAACCTAAATGATAAAATTCTTGAAAATTTGGGATATTACATTTATTGTATTATTACTACCTTGGATTCCTAGAAATGGCTTGCAGCCATAATTTATAAAAAGTTCAATGCTTAATTCACTACTCTAAGTTTTAGGCTTTTGTTTTGAGTCAGTTTAAGTAGTTATGTTGTATTCATGAAGGATTTTGTTGAGTTGGGGGAGGGGGGATATTATTTTCGGTATGGATGGTGAGATTTAGGAGTCATGTGGTTTGAATAACCAATGTCTAAGAATTTTTTGGCATTGGGTGGAAAATATTTGAACCCATTTTTGGAAACACTATCATAGGCATAACGTTCATTTTCTCACACTTTCTGGTCCTGGATCAACTAGAATAGGATAGCCCTCCATTATCACTAGTGTCATTGCACTGCTTAAATGATTAATTGCATAATATATATAAGGAGTTACTCATGAGCTTACCCTTAGAAGCTGTTACAAGTTTAGTAGCTTGCCAACATGGTATTATCAGCAACCTCACATTTAGTACTAGGAATTTTTGCTTAATGTTGATTCTATTTGATCAACTATATAAAATTGGTTTAAACTTAAAATAAAGTAACATTTTAACAAAAGGCTATAAAGGCTGAAATTCTAACTCCCTTGTCATTTTAATAGAATAACAAATTAGTTTTCTATCTTTTGATAGCATCAAGGGACTCCAAAGTAGGGTGGAGGTCTAGTCATAAACATTCTCTTTTATTATTATTATTTTCTTAAACCCCCAATTTGGTCCTTCAACTATTGTATGGAACCCTGATTTGATCCTTGAACTAAAAAAATCTCTGATTTGATCCCTATTGTTTACTAGTTTAACCTTAAATTGGTCCTTCCATTAAAAACTAACTGTCGTGTTAGTTACATTACAACAGAAAATTGTTACTTAACAGTCACGTGTCATGTTAATAACAAGACACATCAACTGTTTTTGTATGAAATGACCAACTTGGAGTCAAATTGGTAAATAGTAAAAACCAAATCAGGGAATTTTTTAGTTTAGGGATCAAATTGAGGGTTAGTATAATAGTTAAGGGCCCAAATTGGAGATTTAACCTTTATATATATATATATATATATCTCCTCTCATCAAAATCAAATTTCCATTATGCATTGACCTAGGCGTCGAGTGTATCTTTGAACTCTCTTGAATGTCTACGGCGACAAAGTAGTGTCTCATTTGAGATCAACCTAGCTAATTCGTGCAAGCTCCACAATGGAAGAATTAATCCTTCATTGTATCTAGATAACGCTAAGACTATCAAATTCAAGTGCAAATGTCACATCTAAAGCATTGATGGTTTTTTTTTTTTTTAAATAGAAAAATGGTCCTGCATTAGTCAATACAAGAAACCTAGGTTTATCAAGTCAATGAAAGATTAAGAAATAAAGTTGTTGGATTCAAGAGTGGTAGATGGGAAGATTTCTCAATCCAAAAATTCCTTTCTAAGGGTTTTGATGAAAGCATGAAAATGTATATTTAAAGTGTGTTTAACCATTAACATTTGTGGAATTATGGACTTAAGAATTGTATTTTTCTACAAATAATTTCATAATTGCTCATTCTATTTATGTGTGTAAAGTTTTTGTGATTGAAGGTTTAATAATTAAATGGAGAGAATTAGAAGAAAAGACTCAAATGCAAAGAGTCAGAAAGATGAGGGTCCAAGGATTGAATTTAGAAGTTTGAAAGCTCAAGTGAGATTTTCTCCATTTTTATTAAGGAGCAAATTGCAGAGATCAAAAATATGATGATCAACTTGTGCAGAATCCAAGAGTTAGGGACAAGGACTGTTATTTTGCCATTAACCAAAATTCACAAAAGGCCAAAAACCTGACACGGAGTACCCAATCAGCGCTTTACTCAAGGTGCCGGTACTTTTTTGAGGGTGTCAACCTCTTACGCAATTTTCAGCTATATCTCCTAATTCTTTTGATGTGGGTTTTATGGCCATTTTAATTAGGTTTTCTAACATCCTATAAATACCATCCAAGTTCAGAATTGAGAGGTTGGAGAGGCTGTTCCTAAGCTTCTATTTTCTTCTTTTTCAAGGCAGAAAATTATATCAAAATGTAATTAAACTTTCAATAAAATTAGGGAGAATCTTGATTAATGAGTTTGACTTGTTGTTTTATTTTGATTCCTTCATAAATTTTATTATTTTATTTTATTTTTGAAAAATTATTAATTATTTTTATTATTTAATTTTATTTTTGAAAAATTATTAATTATTTTTACATGTAAAAACCCTAAAAATTTTATTTATCAAATTTCATATAAGATCAGTTATACTCTTTTTATGTGTAATTTGTTAAAATATAATTGATTGATATATTTGTTTTGTAGGTTGATCATTTACTGCAGTATTATCAATTAGATATATTGTTGCTCTCGGATAACTCGTAAGGGTAGATCAATTTGTTTTTCATTGAAATTAATTTTTCTCAAAATAAATACATTAGTTATTATTATTAGTTTTCAAAGTTAAATATTTTGATTGTTTGTTTGGGACGTGAAACATGTAATTGAGTAATAAATATAAATCAAAATTTTTAATAGTTAAACAAATCAATTAAGTGAATCTTGAAGTCCTGTTTCATCATAATATTGTTTTCAATCCCCTATAATTATCATCTCTTATTTTTATTTTCAATTTTAGAATTCATTTTTAATTTAATTTCTCATTGTGATAACTTTTTTTGTTGGTTTAATACAGCTTCTTGTAGATTCGACACCTAAAGTTACACTACAACAATCGTTTAATCAAAGGGTATTAATTTTGAAACTAGACACCAGGTCTCTCCATTATTAATGAATGCTAAAATAAAACTGGACCACCTTTTAAAAAAAAAAATTGCGGTGATTAGTCTCTTATTCCCCAAACTAAATTTTTGCCCTGCTATTTACTTCATGTATTATTTTAAAATTGTATCAATGATATATTCGTTCAAATGGAATGAGGTTGATTTTTCTTTGGTTAGGTTTTGAGTTCAAATCTTATTAATGAAAAAATAGATGCTAAAAGAGCTTCCTTTCTTATAGAATTAACTTAGCTTCATTTTGACTTAGTTGGAATCTAATGTAGTTTCCAGATACTAAAGAATTTTAAGAAAAAAATTATTTCAAAATTGTTAAGCCCATTATATTGCTTGTTTACTTCATGTATTATTTGTGCATGCCATATTTGTGCAAAAATCAACTAGTTAACACAATTTAAAAATTTATTAGAGGAAAAATTTCTTTGTCAATCTCTCTTCTCCTTCTGTTCTCAGCTGGTTGAGAAATGATCAAGAAAAAAAAAAATTCTTCCACTGTTAATAAGAACTTCAGATCCAGTGCTCTCAGAGACGATGAGGCTCAAAGGAATAGTTGAGTTTGAGACCAAAGGTTAATATTGGGTGGATTTCTACAAGTTGAGAAATTGAGGGGTTAATATGGCACCAAAACAAGGTTAAATGAAGAAATCATCCCTTAACTTTTAATTTTGACCCAATTTGGTCCCAAAAGTTTGTTACGTTAGGCTCTCCAAATCAGTCAACAATCGAGAAAAACAAACATGATTGGCTATCTGGAGAGTCTAACATGACCAAACTGAAC